CCACTTATTCCCCGCCCCTCCCCCCTCTCCGCCGGGTGCGAGAGTTGGGGGGGGCGGGGGTCCGGCCAGCCAGAGGTCACTTAACCTCTACATGCCTCAGTTTACACATCGGTCAGACGGGAGGGACAGTCATACAGAATAGGGCCGAAGGGTCACCTGAGAGCTTATTTGGAGTTAAAGCGCGACACGGACCCCACGTTTTGCAGAATTGTCCGGTGCATTTCGTACTGACCTCCGGTCTAGACCGAGACCAACCCTCAGTTATCCAGATCCGCAGGACTCAGCAGGGACCTGGCACACGGCCAGCCCCTCCTTAGTCCTGTGTTCGCCGCCTTGTCCAACATTTACTCCGTTCCTCAGCGTCCTCCGCGGTAACACGGGTGTAAGTACCGTGCCCACCTCCCAGGGGCGCTGTCACGTCAAGTACTGCTCGTAAGATGCCTGGCGCAGCGTCCGGTGGCCTGAACGCTGGTCAAAGGCGTTTCCACCCCTCCCAGCCGCAGGCCGTGGCTCAGTCGCTGGAGGAGTGAGTGACTGATTCTCGGCAGCCTTGAGGTTGTCAAGGGCTCCCCAAAGTTAGGGACTTTGTTCTGGTCGTGGCTATGAACCAGTGTCTAGCTTAGTGCTGATGCATAGTAGGACCACATAACACATGCTGGATGAATGGATGCAAGAATAAATGAAGCAGTATCCCTGCTTTCCCGATGAGGGTCCTGAGGCTCTGAGAGGTTAAGTGACTTGTCTAAGGACACACAGCTGGGCTGTGTCTGAGTGGGGATAAAAACTCAAATTTTCTCTCTTTGCCCTCGGCACCCCTCCCCCCCCTTCAACTTTCACCTTCAGGCTCAGGAGATTCAGAATCTTGGGTTTCCACCCTGCTGGGACCTGGCTGGGGAAAGGCGGGTGTGTGTGGGGTGGTGGTAAAAGAACACCCAGCCCAGCCCTAGCACAAAAGAAGTGTTCCAGATTCAGCTGGAGGGCAGGGCCAAGGGGAGTTTGGAGGGAATCCACAGCCAGGTGTAGATGTGGCTCCCAGTGTGGACAAAGCTCAGGAAGCTGGTTTTCATGAGCTCTGAGGGACAGTGACCAAAGCTCTTTCAGGCAGAGTTGGCTCTTGGCAATCTGGGACTTGATCCCCAGCCCAGCACCACCACCTCCCCACTCCCTCACCCCCAGCAGTTCTCCAAAGGCCAAAAGCTATTCTTGTCTTTTTCTAAAAGAGGCATTTGAAACCATGAGCCAATTTTTTCCATTCCTGAGCTTGGGTATCGTCTATTTCAGGCGTTTGTTGTTTTCCATGAGTTGCAAATGCCACTGAAGCTGGCCTTTCCTGGACAGCTAGCACGGGAAGGAGCCAGGCAGCAGCAAGGCAGGGCCAGCTTAAAAATACTTCCTGCTTCATTTTTCCTTTGAAAACAAACCCCTAGGGGCCTTTTGCAATTGCTGAGCCTGGGAACTAAGCTTCCCAGGGCAGAAAACTGACTGTGCGTTCTGTTTCCTGAATGCACTGGATGGGTTTGTGGGTCCCAGAAAAAGCAACAGCACTAACTTTGCTGTGTGACCTTGGGCAACTTGCTAACCTATCTGGGCCTGGTGGCCTCCTCTCTAAAATGAAGCCAGGTGAACAGATGATCTTGAATTGTCCCTTCAGCTGTGAGAGCCAGGATGGGAACCACCTCCAGGGCCACGTTTTCTTCCTAGAAATAGGCCAACATGAGATGTCAGGACATGGAGGCCTGAGTTAGGAGGCAGCTTTTAGCTCGGTCTCTGGGAATACTTTGTCAGTTCCTGAGCCCAGAAAATGTTGTAGGAGGGTCTAGAATGTTCTCAACAGGATTCAGGTAATTGCAAAAAGATTAAACACCACCAAAGGGAATAAAGACACTGTGGTAGATCCACACGACACACAACCCGCAGTTAAGCCTTGATCTGTGTTCTAACATGGAAAGATCTCCAAGAGCTATGGCTGATCAGAAAAACAAGTTGTGGAAGGGCTGGTCCGTGGCTCACTTGGGAGAGTGTGGTGCTGACAACACCAAGTCAAGGGTTAAGATCCCCTTACCAGTCATCTTTAAAAAAAAAAGAAAAAGAAAAACAAGTTGTGTAATGGAACAATCAGAATTGTATCATTTATTTTAAAACACACACAAAACAAAGCTACATAGTTTTCTATACCATGGATACACATATTTATGAAATTACATATGGAAAGTTCTGGAAGACTTTACCCAATCTAATAATAGTTCTTACCTCTGGGGCAGGAAGGGGACTGGATTTGGGGTGGTGTCAGAGAGGAATGATGTATTTGTAATGTTTTTACAGAAAGAATGTATTTATTAGTGGTTGTTTATTTTTCTTATTGAGATACACCAAGATATTGAGGGGATAGGTGACCCCCTCTCAGGCCATCCTGGGCTGGGACCCTGTGGTTGGAAGGTGCAGGAAGAGGGTGGCTGTGGCTGGAAGTGGAGGTGTGTGAGATAGAAGCTTGAGCAATGGAAGTGTTTATGCTTTCAGGGAAGAAAATGAAGATATCATTCTCAGGATTTATTGGCCAGTTGTAAATTGTTTTCTATTGCAAAGAGTTGCCTCAGGAGGCAATTAGATTTAGATCACATTGTTCCCAGGTTGGCACAGGCAGGTGTTAACTTGCTGAGGCTTTGCATCACAGCCACTGTCTGTAAGAGTGTGCTCAGCTGCCTGGATGGCAGAATAACCCTATCCCGTGGTGGCATGAGCTACTGCTTTATAAGATAGTGAGTTGCTTGTCAGTGGGGGTATTGAGTACGGGAGAAAGGGGTCGGCCTAGACTGTGACCCTGAGGGCAGCATCCAGATCTCCATCCCCACCCTTGGGCATAGTGCCTGGTCCAACTAATCCTTACAGAATGGACAAAAGTGGGGCTGGAAGCCCGTTAAGCTTCCTGATAGCATTTCATCATAGTATCCTCTGCCACAGCCTAAGCTCGAGGGGAGAGTGGCTTGTAAACTTGGAAGTGGGGTGCACTGTTATAATTACCATTATAATGATTGTTCTAGGCAGTTACTAAATATTGACGGTGGTGTATCTATTACCAAATCTACAGGTGCTGGCTCTTACAAACCAAACCTTGATGAAGTAGACAAGGGGTTTCTCCTGCAGAGCCCACAGTGTTGTCTGCTCTGGGCTAAGCTTGTATAAGCCTTCCAACCTAGGGCCAAAGGGCAAGGGCCACGTTTTCAGGTTGGACCACCTGCATCCCTGCTCCATTTGTTTAAAGAGGAGCACCAGTATGATGGGTGGGAAGTGATGGGAAAAACGAAGTTGGGGAGAGCCTGTGTATGAGGGCTCCTCTTCTGGGGCCCCAATCCCTGGGTTTAGTTCCACTACCTACCAGCTGTGTTACTTGAGCTAATTAATTTCTCAGATCTGTTTTACCCTATAAAATGAGGACTGTGATGGTGTGAAATGCATAGAACTGTTATGAGTATTAAAGTTAAATAAAAATTTTTTTAATGTACCTACTATGTGCTAGGAACAGGGCTCAAGTCCTCGCTAGCCACTTGCTGCCAGTTTCCTCCTCTACGGCCTGCACAGGTCCACATTACTGCTGTGGCTGGCTGGCACCTCCTCTAGCCACGCACCCTAAGCCTCACTCTCATCTCCCTTTGTTGAGGTCGTGCCCCCTCTTTGGACCGTTCAGCTTGTAGCTGCCACTCTGTCATATGACATATGCGGATATTGGCCATTAAGGGCAGGCCTGGTACACTAAGCGTTTCTGGGACCCCACAGAGCCTAGGCCAAGGACTTGCTCGTTTGGTCCTTGTTTAACTAACACACCAATTCTCCTTTTATGTTGGGCTGGGTAGGAGTTAGGAAATGCCCAAGCCCACTTTCAAGTCCAAGTCAGAAGCACTTTGCTCACCCTCCCCAGCCTTCCGTGCCCTGCCTAGAACAAGGAGGAATTTTCCAAGACTCTGGTTTTGCCTCTAGGGAAATGGAGGCACAAGGCAGCAATGATTCCTGGGTGTCCCGTCTCAGCCCCTCTAGGTGAGGAGCCTGTTCCAGGTGCCCTAGTCTTTAAGCCGGGGGAGGGGGCGCGTACTACAACTCCCAGAGCTCCCCGTGCTCAGGGGGCGGTCCCTGCACGGCGCGAAAGAACCGGCCCACCAATGGGAGCCCAGAGCGGGGTGGGGGCGGTGCCCGGGCGGGGTGGGGCCTTGGGGAGGCGGCCGGTGAGCGGCTCCGCGAGCCAGTCGCGCGGACAGCGCGGGACCGAAGTACCTCGCGTGCCGAGGGT